TCCTCCTGCGTTGCGTCGAGAGCTGCTGCTGTTGTCGTCGAGGCTCTTTTTATTTTCTCTCTCAAAATAACTCTCGCGCATACTTACTTTCGCGAATGATAATAAACGTTTTTTTAATTGATACGATATGGAACTTCCACGGGCTTGTATCAAAATTTTTAGAGTTTTACAATTATAATAAAATATGCGATTTACAGCGACGATCAACGACGGGGCCTAACGGATCGGTACACTTTTTTTTTCTTGCGAGATTTTTGGAGAGAAAATAAAAGAAAATAAAGAGCTGTGAAAAAAAAAGAAACGAAATGAAAAAACGACGCGTGACTGATTTTTCGTTCGTTTAACATGACCGTCATAGGATAGAAATTTCGCGCGCGCTTAGCGAGTTAACGGTTGTAAATAGGCAATTTGGAATACGTTATGGATCGTGTCCCGTTGAATTGTCGTAGCGCCTCGTGTGTGTGTGTGTCACCTGCGTGCATATATACACACATGTGTTATAAGAGATTTGCGCAAAGTGACAAACGAGTTTATGTATAAACCGCGTTCGCGCGCGCGACTGTGTGTGCACCTTTCATTCACGCGCGACGACGATGGGCGCGAAGCGCGTCACATTGTGTACTAGCCGCATAGCACATCTCGCCGGTATACAAAAGACTCGGAACTGCAGCATAGCAGCAGAGCTAAAGCGAAATAGCACAGATTCTTTCGCAGTGTAAAGATGCTGCGCGCATGAAGCAAAATATAAACACACACCGTGTGCGGCTTAAGTAGTACCCGTAGTAGTGGTGCCTTCAAAGTTGTGTGCCTGTGCCTGTGCTTGTGCCTGTGCTTGCCATAGTCGAAAGTGTTCGACTCCTGCGAGGCAGCATTTGGGTCTCGAGAGCACATGTATACACAGATAATGTTTTCGGGGCCGCGCACGAGCGCTTTCACCGCCAGTACAGGCTTAGAGCTGCGAGGATAATGCACACACATACACATATACACTGCATACATATACACTATGCGAGATGTGCGATCTGCTATGCGCGCGAGCACACAGGAGGTCTGCTGTGTTCGGCGCCCGCAGCGGCTATTTCGACCTTGTCCGCTTGTATGTGTATGTGTGTGCATAATGCAAAATATACGAATTAAAAGTGACAAACTCCGCGAGAGACCGGCGACGGCCTGAATTTTTCCTTCCTCATATATACTTGGACTTTATATTATGCTTCGTATGTGATGAAAGCTGTCTTTGAAAACCGCAGAAATTGTATGTGCGACTCGCTTTATTTCTTTCGCTATCTCTCTTTCTCTCTCTCTCTCTCTCTCTCTCTCTCTCTCGACACGTGCCTTTTGAAATTCTTTGAAAGTTTAGTACATCGCGCACATACACATTATATAGACGGTAGCGCAAATATAATATCGAATTACTTCCAATCAATAAAATTCCTAATGATACACGGACGATTGATTTCTGTAGCGTGTGCAACATGAAAGATCGGGTACGCGATTTCTCGATTCCTCGGATTTTTCGTCTCGATACATAAAAGTCTCTCTCTCTCTCTCTCGAATAGATGTGCAATTATTGAATTACACGTGTTGTTATTAGCGAAAAACGTCTGTGAGCCACTTTTTCTGGCGCGCAAATCATATACACGGTGTAAATAGGCTTTTAATCGGGAGAAACATTTCGCGCTGCCGCCGTATATACAATCATTCATATGGTATATACGAGGGCCGGGGCTAGTATAAGCGTTCGATAAATTCAACGTTATCGGGTTGTGTAGTTGGGGATTTTCCTTCGCAAGTGCAGCGCGTGTAATTTTGAAAGCTGATAATCGTCGATCGTGTATGTGTATACCTGCTACTGCACACATGTGATTATATTGATGCCTCGTTCGCGTCCATCGCGAAAATAGTAGCTAAAGTGCACAAAATGGAAATTTCATGCGCGCGCGGCAATTTGAATATATCTAGCTTCGGCGTGACGCGCGCGCGGAAAGTGCATATAATATATAAAATCGCGATCGCGCGCGAGCGAGATCGTTTTTTCGCCGAGGCGAGAAAGTATATTATACGACATTCTCGAAATATCCCAAATGTCGCATTAGTTTCAGTATGGTTAGTACTTCCTCGCCGCACGCGCGATTAATTGATGATTAATCAATGACAGAATTGCTGCTGCTAAGAAAAAAAGATCCCGCGTGGCCATTACCGTTATACTTTCTGCGAGATTCTGCATATGCAAAAGGCTAAAAAAGCAGCAACAAGGAAAAAAAAGGGTAAATATACAGCGAAAGAAAAGTAGGAAAAAAGTGCACAGTGCGCGCGCACGTTCGACCAACTTTTCGTTTCTCTCTCTCTTTCTCTCTCTCTGCCTATGTATATAATGTGCTCGTACACTCTCGCGCTATCTCTAACGGAAGGTACACGAGAGCGAGTGAGCGCAACTCGGAAAGCGAAAGCGCGTCCTTCGCGCCCTCTTATCGTCCTTTTCCTACACTCTCGAACGAGCACACAGCTATAATGCAGCCCAACGACGACGACGACGACGACGACGACGACTACGACATTTTCGCTTTCGCCTTATCTTTTTCGCGCTGTGTATTAGAAAAAAAAATGTTTTCATGCGCACGATGTGCGGGTATGTACGCATGTGTGTGTGTCTCTCTCTATGTAGAAGAGAAAATCTGGGTCGGTATGCGCACGAGCGCTTCGTGCGTCGTTATGCAAAATCGCTTCCACGATCGTTTGGTGCGCGACTGCCTCGTCGTGTGCTTTTAACGCAGCAATAATCGGAAAAAAAAGAAGAAGATTATCAACGACGATGATGATGCGCGAGCCTATGTGCGTAGGTTGAGAAATAAAGAGACAGAGAGAGAGAGAGAAAAACAAAATGGAAAATGGAAATCGCCACGCGCGATTCCGCTTTGGGAGCCTAGATTTTTGCTCGCTTGTCGCGACCGGCATGCTACACGCGCTCTTTTATACATTATATTTGTCAGGCTGCAGCGGCGATAAGCCGCGCGTGTGGGCCGTTGACATTATAATATAGCTCGCTCGGGTCGAGACTATATTATACGTGTGCCCACTTAACATTCGTTCAAAGGTTTTCGCATTAGTTTTGTTGTTTCTGTTGCATCGACGACGACGACGACAATTGCAAAACTCCCAAAGAGAGTCTCTTTGCACAAGAAAGAGAGAAAGTTTGTTCTGTGCGAGTATATATAAGAGCTTGGTGCGCATGGGCTTGAAAAAAGTACCGTTTTATACCCACGAAATGATCGTTATTGCTTTATTTTTCAACGTCAATTATATTGGATCTCATTTTCGAGGTGCATCGTCGGAGAGAGGATTTATTTTTGTTTTTACTTTTTTTTTGGCATTCAGGAAAATGGGTAGTACCGCGCTTGCGATCGTTGAAAAATTCCTTCCGATTCCGAAACTTTTTCCTCCTTCTTTACGTCCTCTTCTTTTTTTGTCACTCCAAGCCAGTGTAAGTCATTAAAATTGTCCTTAACCATGATGCGTGTATTATACTATAATATAGTATCGAAAAACCACGCGAACCGCAGAGCTTACAAAAATTAACCTCTCTCTTTCTCTCGTTCTTCCTCTGTCTCTCTCTTTCGAGCGCGCGAGTATATAAGTTATTTTTCGCGCGCAAAAAAAAGTAAAATAACACAAAAGAACACGAGAAAGAGGGAAAAAGATCGGAGAAAGGAAAAAGGAGTGCAGTGCGCATGTGTGCCTCGATGATAATTCTCGCGGTGCACGGTGCACACTGTATGCGTACTGCAAAATACGGCGCCCGCGTTTATGATTACTTTCGTTTGCGGCGATCTTTAATGCACACGCAGGTGAAGAGAGAGAGAGAGAGAGAGAGAGAGAGGAATTTTGTTCGGTGCAGGGCGCGTTCGCAGGAGGAGAAACGGGCTGTGGCTCCTTCCTTCTCATCAACAAATAATCTCGCCACATTTCTTTCTCTCTCTCTTTCATACTTCTTTCACTGTATATAGTTTCGTCGGATGAAATGTCAAAACGTGGGAATGTCAAAGGACAATTTGACCGGAGCTACCATCTATCGCATTCATATTATTTTACTCCAAAATATCATCTGATAAAATTTGTTAAAAAGCAATGTAAAATCGGCAGTGCATCGGCGGCACTCGTCAGTTGCATCACCTGCACAGGCGGCGCTCACCGAAAAATCCGCATATTATCGGCTATACACGTCGTGTTTCGCAGTGCGCTCGGGTAAAGTACGCGAAGAATTCCACTTTCTTGCCTCGCTCGCGAAGGCGCTTTTGACGAGATGGAATGTTTTTCTCTCTTCCTTCCTTTTTCCACGCGAGAGCTCCACTGCGCTGCGTACATGTATATAATATGTATTCATTCACGTGTAGCAGAGGCACGGGCACTCAAGGATATGTGTATATACGTGTGTACTTACTTACATAGTAGGGATGTATGGTAGTGGGGCAGAGAGCACATACGCGCGGCGCGATATATACGTGTGGTGGCGGCAGCGGCAGAAACTTTAGTGGAGAGCCGTGTACGTATATACGTACAGGTAGAGAGTAGGTCAGTGGGCCAGATACGTATATACGCGAAGGGGCCTACTCCATACTCACACACACACACATACAGCATATAGCTCGCACTCGTCGGCGAGTAATTCGATTCAGTCAGTCTTCCTTGCGGCCGCCACGAGGAGGTGTGTGTGGTTGTTGTTGTTCTTCTTCTTACCCGAAAGAGAGGAGCCCCGAGTAGTAGTGCCGATAGTGTAAACGCGAGTGTGAATAGTATATAGACGTTTATCGTATGCAGCTGCTCTTCTACATGAGTTGATTTTTGACCGCTGCGACGAGATCGTTATTCATACATTTTGTACATATTATTCGGCGGACCGATGAAGTTGCCGATTTCTTGAGTCAATTCGTCGTCGTCGTCGTCGTTGCCCGAGAGTTCTTCCATCAGTGCTTTTTCCTTCTCTTCTTTCTCTTTCTTCTTCTCTCTCTTCCTCTTCTACCTCTTCTTCTTTTCCTATATTCTGTGCTCTACGAGTGACCGAAGCTGGAGTCGTCTCGCAGTGATAATCAAAAATGTAAGAGACCGCCCCAGAGCTTGCGACGCTCGCGATTTTATATAGAATAGTTTTGTGACATTTGAAGTGCTTACTTTTACACAACTCAGTGATTCGGTGAATCGTGTTTGAAAATCAGTGCTTGAAGCTTCTTGAAAAAACTTAATGCCTAATTCCGAGAATTAAAGGCTCCTGTATAATTATTTGGCTATATAAATGCAGCGAGCTTGTGAGCCACATTCGCATTTAGAAATTATCGACTTTACGCGATAATTGTTACGAATTATTATAATTAAAAGCGAGAAAGCACACGTTGATTTCGCGATAACATTTGAATTTTTTAAAAATTTCAAAATCGAGAGCAAAATTTTTAATTTTTTTTTCTTTCTGTTAATTTTTCAGAGGGCACGAGAGATTCAATCAAGATGGAAAAGACGCGAAGGAGTTTACGACTCGTGCTGTCGATTTTGCTATCGATACTGCTGGCAGTGAGTACATCAAATTGTTAATCCAAAAAAAAATACCAAATTTCTCCGAACGATCGTTTCTTGTGTGCCGTGCATTACCAAGTGATTCTTAGTGAAGTTTAAACAGTGCTTAGTAAAAAAAAAAAGAGTAAACACATGCGTTGTACACACACACAGATACAGATATAGACACACAAACGCGTAATCTGCTTAACAACAGAGCCGCAAACTATTAAGTGAAAATTAGTATCATCTCGTTGCGTGTAAAGAAACGGTAAAAAGAAGAAGTGCCTCGCGCAAAACGCGCGTTAATTGCGAAGCTAATTTCGCACGTTATCAGCCTCGCGCTCGCTCGCCGGCCAATTATAAGCGAAAAGAAAAAAAAACACAGATAAAGTCTCGCGTCGTCAAATTTCTCTCTTTACCTCGGGTTGTAAAATCAATCGCCTTTCAAATTATTCACTAGACTAAATCGTAAATCATCGTGACGAATAAGACATATATTTTGCTGTGCTGCGCTGCGAGTAGTAACATCATGTGTGTGTGTGTGTGTGTGTGTGTGTGTATGCGCGCGTGAGACGCTTCGTTGCTTCCGTTGGCACGATTTTTACGGAAGCGCGACGACGACGACGACGACGACAAAGTGAACAAAAATGTCGAGGAGCTATAGGAAAAAATTCCGGGGCAGAATCGATTTTTTATTCAATTCACTCGTACACACGCTAGTGCGTTAGTTTTTCCGGGAACAAAGGTGGCAATACTGCTAATCGCGCCGATTACACGAGAGATAACCCGATGGATTTCTGAAAAATCCAAAGTTGCAACACACAGACACACACTCGCGTAGCTCCGTTTACGAATTTCCATATAATAAGATGAAAGGAAAATATAGGTCGATAACGAATTGTGCGCGCATTATAATACATGTGCTGCTGCTGCAGACTCGTCGCGCAGTCCGCCGCCGCCGACGCCGTCGGCTTAGATACGCACTCGCACGGTGTGTAATTTCCATTTTATCGTCGCTGTAATATAGCGTGTGTACCAATTTTCGACTGTTGCTGCCTCGCGAACTACCAAACTCGAACGAAACATCAGAGAGAGAGAGAGAGAGAGAGAGAGAGGCACTGTTGCACGAGTTAAAGCTCGGCGATCGCCAAGCCGTTCATTTTTCGCTTCGAGCGCAGCACACAGCTCTTCCAAGAGTTTTATTATTTTTTTTTCTCCAAAGAAATCCGCGCGAGTAAGCGAGCGACAGGTGCGCCAGGCAATATTCTTCATTATACGCGAGCGATCGAAAATATGTGTCTGTGTGTGCATAAAAAACGGTACCTTGCTTTTCGCCATTTGTCACACTAATTAACCGCGCGTATCCTCGATATTGCGCGTCTCTCTCTCTCTTTGCGACCGCGAGACCGGCTTACATTATGGTCTTACGCGCGCACAGGTTATAGCTGTTAAAGTGTTATTATCGTCGTCGCCGAAATTTGAACACGAGTGAGACATGAAAATCCATTTGGACGACGATGTATATATTTGCCCAAAGAAAGTGAACGGATGTAGAGCCGTGGCGCATTTGTACACTGACCTTTATGCACACACACAGCAGAGCCGCATGAAAGTGAGCCCTTCACTTCCTCCTATATATAATATCGGCTAGCTATATGAGCGACCGCATCTCGCGTCGTGCACGAGAGATTAGTCGATCTATGGGAATATCTGCAAGTGTAATAAATCGTACGACTAGATTTGCTTTTAGATTCAAGATTCGTGTCTAGGAATTAATCGACTGAGATTAGTTTTACCAATCATACCGATCGCGTATTGTATTGGACACACGTAGGGATTCGGCGAAGACAAAAGCAACAGTTTTTTTTTTATCGATTTCGTAACTACATAATAATGCGCGGATTAAAAGTACGAAACTTTCTCCGTTTCTATCGCGTTGTTGTGTTATTATACCAATCAACGCCTGTGTCGAGACTGTTTTTTATGTCTCTCGAAGTTAGTATACGTATCGAATTTTCCTCGCACGCATACACTAATAATAATAAACGCGTTTGGAAGCTCGAGCGCGACGCATCTCTTAGCAAAAGGCACACACACACACACACACGCACGCGCACACGCACACATATGGGCAAGGACGTACTATACATTTACCCCGCTCCAAAGCATACACGTACACATATTCGCGCGCTACAGGTTGATTCGCGAATAGTAGGTCAAAACGTACATACACACACACCGGACGCGGCCCCTTTCGCGCGTTGAAGCAGAAGCAGAAGCAATCGGACTGCTTTTTCTTTTCTCTTTCTCTCTCTCTCTATCTCTTTCTTTCGCTCGCTTAGGCTTCGCGCGCGGCATAAGCTTTCTTTCTTGGGAAGAGAGCCTTCGCGCGCGCACATGCGTTCGTTCGCGCTGTATATAAGCTGGGGCTTGTATACATATATAGCGGCAGCAGCATGTGTATTATATATGTATATACAACTTGAGCGCCTTGCTTGTGCTGCTCTCGTTTCTCTCTTACTCTCTGCGCGCGCGGATAAATCGGCTAAAAAGGATAGATGCCATCTGGATAAAACAACGCGTGCGACTTTTTCGCCTGCGCTCTCCGTAGTATTATTTTCTCTAAACTCTGTGCACGAGAGCAATTGATTTTGCGCCAGTGCCGGCAGGTGTTAATGCTCCCTTTTTTTCGGGGTGGCGAATCACAGCGAAAAATCGGCACGATCGACCGATCGATCGCCCGACTCGTGTGGCAGAGTGAACGGGACTAATTCGATCGAGCGAAGAAAAAAAAACGAAGCGATGAATTTCTTTCCTGATTCAAGGCCACGAATTTCGAAAATCGATTATCTCTCGATTGCCGTATACGTGTGTGTATCCTTTCTTTTTCCCCGGGAGGAATTTTCTGTGTCCAAAAATTCGCAAATTATGACGAACGTACGCGCGAGCTCTCGATTTATATTAAGAACGATCGTTAGGAGTGATTAATGCGGAAGTCGCGTCGGCATGCGCGATCCGTGCCTTCAGGAAGGAGCAGCTCCATCCGAGCTTTCACTCGAATTCCTCGATCGTTTCGATCTTTTTTTTTTAAATGCCTCAGCTCTGCGCAGGTGAAATATTTTCAATTTTACTGCATTCGCGCCGTCTAAAGAAATTATATCGATTCCGCGAGCAAAGCTAAAGTTATGGCAGCAAAGCGTGTACAAACGGATGCGGTAATAACGTCGCGTCTGCGGTAGACACGAACGGCGCACAGACCTAGTAATCAAGTCATCGACTCGATGAAAAAGTCAACTATGATTTTCTTTTATCATCGAGAGAGAGAGAGAGAGAGAGAGAGAGACGTAAAAAGCTCCCGTAACGAAGTACCTGACTCTTTATAATCTCATTGCGGAACACCGCAGAATCATTTATCTCGTTTTTCTCTCTCTTTTTGCTTCGTTACGGCTACTTGACTTTCCGCCTCATGGAAGCAGCAGCGGCAAAAAAACGAAAGTGTCCTTATCTCGACTAACAATATAAACGTAGAAATGCAACGTTGACGATTGTTTACGACTCTCGGGCGGTTACAGACGTAAATTAAGCGAATCCGATACGTAAATTGGCGGGATCAATGACCACGAATCGTCTCTCTGCTACACCCATACATTAGTCGCAGAGCTGGGAGAGAAAAAAAGAAAGATAATTGGAAACAAAAGAGAATGAACGAGAAACAATGAATTGTATTCCGAGTGCGATTACGAGCCGCGCGCACGCAATAAACAATCAAATAATACTAGCTCCGCATTATATTATCATACATACTACACACATACGATTATGCAAACGGCCGATTCAATCGAGCTCCGATCGCACAACACGTGCTGTTGCTGCTGCTGCTGCTGCTCCGCAGTGCAAAGTGTATCGCGCGTACGTATGTATAAAATGTGTACATATATTTAATACCATAGGGAAGGAAAAAATTTAGCCTGATTCTCACGTGTCTTCTCTAATTAGCAAGAAAGAGAGAAGAAGGCGCAGAGAGCGAGAGAAGAAAAATCGAGGCGAACGAACGGCTGCTCTACTTTTTCTTTCTCTCTCTCTCTCTCGCGCGCGCGCAAGGAGAGGCGCGGTGACATCGTTGCATGTGCACATACTTACGCACACTCGCATGCGCGTGCGTATACCCATACACAGGCCCGGCGATGCAAGTTTTCTCCGCGGATCGCGACGAGGATTGACGAGATACATATACATGCGCGCAGCCGCGCCGAAAGGGGAATATCCCTCGAGGGAAGGTGGAGAGAGAGTCGAGTCGCTAGTCGATCGGGGGCTCTTATTCGAACGCGTTTCACGATCGCAAAGAGAAAAGGAGATGAAAATTATGTCCGACTAGGTGTTGCTACTCGGTTAGAGCAGACTCGTGTGTATGTATGTATGTACGCGATACGTATGTACAACTAGTACTCGTCACTCCAGAGAGAGATGATAATGACGCGGCGATGAGTTCGATGCACTTCCGCCTCGAAAGTCGCTGCAGCTTACACACGCGCGACCGTATCCATGTCTCTTGCGCCGCGCGCGAGAGAGTTTCATTTGTTTCGTTCGCGCGCGCGAGAAAGAGAAAAGCTCGCGCGGCGTAATGGGAATTCGCGTATGTGATATGTCTCGCGTGCATTCAATTTCTGCGCGACATTTTCACCGGAACTCGTGTGGGCATTGTGAGCTCGCCGCCGTCGTCAGCTCTACATATAATATAATAATGCGCCGTTTCACCGTGAATATGCGAGCTGCACAACCGTGCGCTAATAGCCGCCTGCCGCCGTAATGCCCTTGGCAAGGTCTCGGAGTCGTTTACGCGTTTTTTTTTTTGTCTTCTTTACATACTTGCACGCATCGTCGGGAGCCCGTTACTCGCACGCGGTGCACGAGCAGTTTCTTCTTTTTTTCGTTGACTCTCTCTCTCTCTGTCCTGACTATAAATATTATATAGTTCATCTGGGATTCCCGCCGAATTTATTGGATCGCACTCGCGATTTATGAACGCGTCGCGATCGATGATATTGAAATTTCGAGCTAGTAGCCGGGTCATCTCCTTTATGATCCTTTGTTCCCCGATATACTCTTGCGCCTTCTATTTTTCGGCTCCACATAAGCGTTATAATGCGCTAAATTACCTCGTGGGCAATCCCGCGTTTTTTTTCCTTACGGACGCGAACCCGGCGCGCACGTGCTAACCCAGAAAACAAGCGTTCACGAATCGTATGTATGTACGTATACGCGGCTTAAAGGCCAGAGGCAATCCTTATTTATACATTATTATTATTATATACATAAAAAGATAAACAGTCTCGTAAATTGAGCCTCGATGAGCGTCTACATAGCAGTATAGAATATCTCGCGCTCGCCCTTTTATACCCACTACTACTACTACTACTACTACTACTACTACTACTACTACTACATTACGCGCGCTAATTTGCAAACATTTTCTCGATTTACGTTAACTCATTTGTGTGTACACGAGCGTAATAGCTACCTACTACTACTACTGACGCTACTTTTTGTCCTGATTAGCCTAGCCTACAGGCCGCATAAAGGAGAAAACGCTTGCTTTTCATTTCGATTATTAATATTAAAGAAAAATAATAAAAAACCAATGCCCGCATAATGTTATACGCGAAATTCGAGGAGCGTTTCCTCTACTGGTACTCCGCGCGCGCAAGATATTTATGACCCGCCGTATAACTTACTCCTTATAAAGTCGAGAAACAAGTGCATACATTTGCACGCCGATTCGCCTCTCACTCGTGTGCTTCGCTGCTGCTACACATACGTGTATATATATGCAAAGTGCAAACGATTACCCACGTTCGCGTATTGTCTGCAGTGCAGCGCATGTGTGGATACAAAATTATATTGCACCGCGAGCGAGAGAGCCTATATGTGCGCGCGTGTGTGCTGCAGTACATTAATCGCGAGCCAAATGTTCGTACGTACGTGTATGTGTGTGTATGGGTATTAGTGCGGTATACATAGGGACAAGTGAAGAAATCACTTTGCAAGATCTCGAATCACGACTACGCCGGTATACAATGCGACGCGGCGGCTTCTTTTCTTTTGTTATTCGTTTTCTCTTTCAAGCGACGGCGTCGGTGGTGGTGCATCTCTCGTGGCACGCGGTTATAAGTCTGTTTCGGGGTCAGTGTGTAACGTATATGTACTGTTTTCATTCGTTATATAGACGCACACATAGCCGCGTTTGACGCGATAATGAACAATAGCGTCGTACCTTAGCTCGATTATTAATTCAACCTATTTTTTTTTCGCTTATAGAATGTACACGGAGAAGCACCTCTGGACAGCAGCGCTCTCCCGTTGGAGCATAGATCGGTGTACGGACCCCCGGCGCAGTACGGAGCGCCGGCCCTGCCGCACGGCGGCGCCGAGGAGAACTGGCCCCTCGCCACGTCGGACACGCCTCAGATCAAGCACCTGCAGGTGCAGTGCGAGAAGACCCACATGCGAGTCAACATCGAGTTCGACCGGCCCTTCTACGGCATGATCTTCAGCAAAGGCTTCTACTCGGATCCTCACTGCGTCCATCTGAAGCCCGGCACAGGCCACCTGAGCGCCACCTTCGAGATCTTCCTCAACTCGTGCGGCATGAGCTCGTCGGCCAATCACAACGTCGCACCCTACGGCTCGCCCACGCCGTCGGGCAGCTACGTCGAGAACACCATCATCATCCAGTACGATCCCTACGTGCAGGAGGTCTGGGATCAGGCGAGAAAGCTGCGCTGCACCTGGTACGACTTCTACGAGAAGGCCGTGACCTTCAGGCCGTTCCAAGTCGACATGCTCCACGCCGTGACGGCCAACTTCCTGGGCGACAATCTGCAGTGCTGGATGCAGATTCAGGTGGGCAAGGGCCCGTGGGCTTCCGAGGTCTCCGGTATCGTCAAGATCGGCCAGACCATGACGATGGTGCTGGCCATCAAGGACGACGAGAACAAATTCGACATGCTGGTGAGGAACTGCGTGGCTCACGACGGAAAGAGAGCACCGATTCAACTGGTTGATCAGTACGGCTGCGTCGTCAGACCTAAGATCATGTCTAGGTAAGTTTTCTGATTCATATCTAGGTGTACAACAGCTATGAATATTATTTCTTACGATTCGTTCTCGACCTCGACTCAACAGATTCCAAAAGATCAAGAACTTCGGACCGTCGGCCTCCGTGGTGAGCTTCGCCTACTTCCAGGCCTTCAAATTCCCCGACAGCATGAACGTGCACTTCCAGTGCGTCATTCAAGTCTGCAGGTACAACTGCCCCGAGCCCAAGTGCGCCGGTCATCCCGGTCTCGAGGGCTACTCGTCGAACAACAACATCGCCTCGGAGTACGGAGCTCCGGTTCATCAAGGAATCTCGTCCGAGTACGGAGCACCACCGATACCCGAGTACGGAATTCCACCGGCTTACGCCGATCCTCGCCATCCTAGCGGTCCTACTGGCGCCTACAGGTAAGAGAGATTGCATTTTGAAAACAGTTGAAAATTGTTTAAAAAAAAAAACAGCTAAATTTCCACGTTGAGAATTTACCAAGTTTTCAACTTCCGATCCTCTTTTCAATGCAGCTATTTATTCTTAATACAAAAATCATCAACGATCGTTATATTACTATTATTACAGTGAGCCAAGTCCCGACGTAGTGCCAGCCCCGCAAGCTCAAGTCTCCTCGTCGTCGCCAAGCTCGACGTCGTCGAACAACAACCAGAACAACAACGACAACACAGCCAGCAGCTCGGCACCTCAGAGCGCCGCTCAAACTGCCCAGCAGCAACAGCAAGACGTTCATTTGCCACCCCCACCACTACCTGGACACCCAGCCACGACTTACCAAACCGTGAAGAGGAAAGGAACGGTGGGCAGCGATGAACTCGAGGGTAACCTCGCCACACTCGGCGGCAGGCCGAGGTCAGTCGAAGGTCTCTCCGCTGAATTGCGAGGAGTCAGGAGGAGGAGAAACGTCATCGAGATTAACAAAGATCAAATTGAGGTAAGTACATAAATACTTGATGAAAAAGTTCGATGAGGTCAGTTGTGAAAATTTTCTTTTCGTTTATCTAGGATACCTTCCACACGATAAAGCTGGTAGCCACCCCCACGAATCACGTGTACAAACGCGCCGCCCAAGAGATGACGGACGTCAACACCTCGCGCATCATCCAGGTGGTGGCGCCGGGCGACGTGAATTTCGCCCTCGGCACCCAGGGCGGCGCCGACAACGACACGACGACGGTCGTGATCCAGGACGCCGCGACGAACACAGACCCGGAGACGATCTGCATGTCTCTACCCGGTTTCGTCGGTGGCCTCGTGATGCTGCTGCTGGTGATCGTCGTCGCCTCGCTCGTGGCGGCCTTCCTGTACGTGCGCGTGCGCCAGGTCGATCGCAAGACCGCCGGTTTCGCCAATATGGGCTTCGCCCATCCGGCCTACATGGCGGAGAATCATCCCGAGCTCGTCAAAGTCAAATGAGAGAGAATTGATATGAAACAGAAGAAAAAAACGTTCGAATTTTTTAACTCAACTTGTTATTTACATTCTTAGTAGTGGAGAGGGAGAAAAGCGAAAAAAATAAGAAGAAGAGAGTGCAGAAAGCGTAGTGCGATACACGCTTATGCATTATATACATATTATATATAATATACATAGGGACTGTCGTTAAGAATTAACTCGCGTCCTCTCTCCGAGCGTCCAAAGGTGGCCAAAAAGAAAAGCGGAGCGACCACCGCACGTGCGAATTAGCTACACACACACGGTGGCCTCTCAAAGCAACTAAGTATATATAATACACACTCGACATAAATATATATACACGCAGTCATCGTCGTTTACTTTACTCCGATATAAACAGAAGACACAGGCAAATCTCCACACACCAAAGTATACACGCATCCTTCAGCTGTAAAGCAAACGACGACGACTACGAGGATGCTTCATAATACATATTAGAATCTATATTATAATAAAAAAAGACACACATATACATACAAAAAAAAATTATTATACATAAAGGTAAAGACTGAGACATCGTTCGGATGTTAAGCGTTGATGGTGTATTGACGGGAGACAAAGTCTTGATGATAATTCGAAAGTGAGCCGACTGTGGCAATGTCACGTGTAAATATAGACCGCTGACGCGCGCGCCAAACTCCGTGCATTGTTATTTTTTTAATTCATGTAAAAGGCAACAATCGAAAGAGCGAGGAAACGTGATGCGAGTTATGTTTATAATGTACGCGCGGTTTTTGCGGAAAGAATGCATCATTATTATTATTATTATATTATACGTTTAGGGAGCCCTCGGGTTCGAGAAGTAGTCGCCCGATAAAGGTATCATGTAAATATTTCTCTTTTTCTCCGGTTATCTGTAAGCGGGGGAGTAACTACTTCTTCACTGTGACTACTTCTCGAACTGCATATATAATTTTCATAAATTTTATCATGCAACTCTGTACGCGACAAGTTTGTTTCGTTGGTATTTGTTTTTTAAATTTGATTTTTTTATTGTTTTTATGAACATCAAAGTAGTTGTTCGTCGACCAGTGGGACAACTACGAATATTGATATGAGATAAATCTTATCCGTAAATATTTGATACAAAAAAATACTATCGTGGAGTAGTGTTCGAAATTTCTTGTATATCGAGTACATATTATAATCAAACATCATTATAATTGTTTTTAGGCGTATGTACTAAAGCGCGATTGCGGTAAGCGTAGACTGCGATAGTGTGAGTGAAATTATAATTTGTTGTTCAGGGGCAAAAAATTTACGAGCGATCCGTCTACGATTACTTAAGTTCGTGTATTATTATTATTATTATTATTATTATTATTTTTATCATAATTATCAATGATTTATCGTTACATTTGTTTGTAATCATATTATTATGCTATAGATGAGCATTTCGATAATTGTGCTTTGCATGCGATCAATTAACTCATGTCCCCTCTCTTCTTGAATCATCACGTCATTTTTTCCATTTGTCGTCTTGCATCTGCCATCGATTGTCGCTTGATGCGACGTTTTCATAGTCTCATCTCTTATAGTTGTAATTATTATTTTTTTTCCATGTTGAAATTCTAAAGAAACAACAACAAAAAAATAATTCTAACGAGTATGAAACTTTGAATCCTTTACCTTCCTTCATATTAATCATAATCATCATCCTCATCGTCATTCATTCCCTTCATCATCTTCATCATCGACCCTCTTAGCATCATTCTCCCCCCATCTCATGTTCCTATCGTTTAATTCATCTTCAAAGACACGTACTCCAAATACAAGCAAAATAATATCTATACAATTACGATATTACATTTTACCACGATCGCTCATGTTGCCCTTCTGTCATTCATTATTAATATTGTACTACTATCATGTATTGTTTGTTCGTGGTATTCTGGCGAATGCGTGTCTGCGTACAGCAAACCCCCCATAAGATACTGTATTGATCAAAATATTGTAAGAATTTATTCGTAATTATAGGAATTATACATAACTTTTTATTTACATGTGGTACTTTTATTCTCGAAGTTCAATCTATCTGCCTCAGAATTTACTTTCCTCAATATTCCCAATATCCTTTTTTTTAAGATATATATTAAATCATATCATTGCCAATGAAAAATGTCAAAAATAACCAAGTGGTCCTGAGAGGGACAAAGAAAAACAGTGATTTAAAAGCCCGAACTGGGCGGATGCTAGGCATTGTGAATTATTACCACGTGAATAATATACACTAGAAATGTTATCCACGAGGGTTCATGAACTTCTTGTAAAAGAGCTATCTAACTCTGGGGTGTGAGAAAAGTGAGCAGAACAGAGTGAGTGGATGAATAATAAATCATCGAAACGAGTCCCTTTTTATATAATGCACAATGTACACAAAAGTAAGCTACGCTACTTAATTTTTCGTGCTTTGTTATCACTTCACATCATAAAAGATTTTCTAATCGAGTTACGAATGTTTAGGATTTTTTCAATAAATAAATCATGAATAAAAAAATGTTTATCATTTTCATAAGATAAATATAAGACATATAAAGCGGGTTTTTCAATGATTCAATGACTTATTTTTGCTTCGTTTACAATGGGTATTTCGAAAGGTTCGTTTTCTTATAATGTGCTTTTTTCAAGGCTTTTTCAACTATCATTCGGTAACTTCATTTTAGCTTTAATTTTTCAAAAAACTTCAATTTGATAAATTTAAAATGTAATATGCAAACACACGTGTTTACAACTCGAGCGTTATAATAAGTTTTATTGATTTTTTTCATAATGCATTTTATTTTTTTAAAGAATTCTATATACACTATAAAGTCATGAAAAAAACAAGCTCTCATCACCTTCATATTCAAAGCAAAAAATGTTATTGTTTTTAATGTTTAACATTTTTTTATTGTATTAAAAACTATTCGAGCCATATTTTATGTAGAACTCATTCTTACTACTTTTACTGCATGGTAAACAAGTATCAATGTAGTTTAGTAGTTTAGTAGAAAGATAACTTTAACACGTATACTTTCTTCAATCATAAACATGAATTCTGAAGTCAAAATTCAAGTAAATCACGATTGGTATAAGCAAATACTTACTCAGTTTCCTTTTCAAGTAATAGTATTAAAAGTTAGTTTTTTATGGCCATATCAACGTAAATATACTCAAATCATGGGACAATTATTTATTCATTTTTGTTTTTCTATTGTATTTATTGGAATAGTACGTATCGTTGAAATGAGATCAATTTCCTTATAGAACGATTTTTTAATACTGGATCTTTTCAGTTACTGAAGATGTTTGAAGGAGTCAAAAAAGCAGGTGCCGATAGTAGAATGCTCGAGGGCTTATGTCAAGCTATCATTTTTTTTCTTATAATATATTGTTATGATCATTCAGTTTTAATTTACGATAAGGTTTATAACACTTTTTAATGCAATGTCCAATATCATATGACCATAATAACACTCAGAAACTTCAAAACATTTAGATTAAGAAGTGCTTGACTTTGATGGACAGAATGTTTCAAGACAACGATACTTCGGGCCAAAAAGTGATTTTTCGATCAGTTACAAAATTCATGAACCTAAACTCTATTCTTACAAGTCTGCAATTCTACTTCCTAAAAACCACACTGAATAATTATATAATTCATAAAACATTTTTATAGTTACGTTCGTTTGTATTTTCGTAAACGGAAGTGCAGCACCAGTGGTTATTCCAAAGTTATTGACATGGACACTGACAGGAAATCAAACGTACAAAAAATCATTGCCTATTTATTGGGATTTTTTCATGGATCAAGATGAATATTTTTATCAAATTTTTGCAATTCAATTTATCCTTCTTATTGTCTTTAGTTTCATAATTGCATCGTTGAATAATTACCAATTCGCGTATGTAGGATTCATCATTGGAGAATTCCTTCAATTGCAGTATGTGAGAAAGTTGCTTGCATCCCTTGATAGTGTTTATTGTTTAACATAGTAATGTAATTTAATTTGGCGTAATTTTAGAAATTATTTAAAAGAAACAGATGTTGAGTATCACCGTATGCTTCATGAAAATGAAGAAAAAGCTCACCAATTTCTCAAAAAAAAACTCAATCGAGTAATTCGACATCATAACTATTGCATCGAGTAAGTTATATCATATATTGCTATGAAATCAATAGGTTAGAATGCTCCTCTTTTTTGTTATCAAACTGTACATCAAATAATTATTATTTAAACTGTTAGACTAACTTTTTGAAATATTCAATACACGTAATTCTACTTAGATCGTACGGTACTGTTTCAGTAACATGCCTAAACATTTGGATAATAAATCATAAACCCTGATAAAATAAAAATGTTTATTCAACATATTTTATAGGTTTTTTGAACAACTATGTAAAATTACCAGTTCAATGATGTTTGTAATTATTCTAGGCGCATCGTGTAACATCATTTTAAGTGGCACTACGGTAAGTATGAATCTCATTATTAAGGCAATTCGTACCCCAACCCCAAAATTCAAATTTTCAAACACGTTTTCTGAAACTTCTATTGAATATTTCTATAAAAGGTTCTATGGAAACCTTAAGAACATCAAAATGAAGGTTACCATAGGCCTTTTAGAGAAATATTCAGTAGAATGTTTGAAAATTGAACTTTCGGCTGGAGTATGGATCTCCTTAAGCGAATTTTTCATTTTTTTTTCTATATTTTATGACTATATAATGGAGAGAAATAATTGGTCTGTTCCATATCTATGATTACTATTTTGTTAACCAATTTCAACTTCCTAACCGAAGCAAGATATATTTTCGAATGAATTACCGTGATATTAGAGTACTCATTGACTTATAAACCATAGAACCTTTTAAAAGTATCTCATATCTTTAAGTAAAATCTTGAAATTCTTTTCATACATGGGAAATGGTAACAATATTTATTACGTTTAAGCAATTGATGGTTTTTTAATATTTCCACTTGGAACTAGATTTTAACGTTGAACAGCTGAAAATATGTAATAATATATTTTATCGATCAAATGCAGATGGTAGTTTTAATGAATACGAGCTCAGCAACGGCTATTAAAATGTTAATAGTGTATTGTACTTCTTTGATCACCGTCACAATTACATGTATTCCCAGTCAATTGCTAAGTAATGCTTCCCACGACATGCTTAACGAGATGTAAGATCTCTGCAAATTTAGAACATATAATAATTTACAACTAAATATAATCAAAAAAATTCACGTTAATAGTTATTGCACTAATTGGTACGAATACCCACCAAAAGCTAGGCGCATCTTAGTATTATTATTATTAAAATCAATGAAAACTTTGGTACTGGAAGCTAGATCAATTATTGAATTAAATTTCGAAACGTGCAGCAACGTAAGTCTCTCAATTTATACTAAATATATTAATAACGAAAACTATGATTTGTTTGTGATGAACGAGATCTATGAATTGAAAAATTTTTCTTTAGGTTATAAAAAGAACATTATCGTTTACAGCAGCCTTCAGATCATTTTATACTTCAGGTTATGCCTAATGAAATAAATTCTTCTACTACAAATATGCCTCTTAATAAATAATTTCTATATTGTACAGTGAATCTTTGTTATTTAATTTATTATACTTACTTCATACTTGAATCATTTTAAAAATGAGTCCGAATTAATACGTTTATCTTATCGAATAACAGAATTTTGTTTTCATTATTTGTTTTTATTTCATCGAATAAAGTCTCCTTTTTGTGATAACGCTAAAAAACCTCGAAAAAATATGACAATATT